AGCCACTGGCGCAGCAGTCTCCATCGCAGGCGCGCCCATCCGTGCCTGCCGCCGTCTGTCGCACGAAACCAGAGCCCCTCCTTTTGTCACTGAGTTGGAAGATGTGCAAATCTGGCCGCGCGTGCTCAGCCAAGCCGATGATGCGCCACCTCAGCTCGCGCGCGTTTTTGAAAAGGCACAGAGCTGAGCGAGAGCGCAGAAAGGCAGCCAATGCCAAGAGTGCCCAGTGGCGCCAGTGGGTTCGGGGCAACTCGCGCGACGGTGCAGCAGCCCTGTTTGCGCGCGCCAAGCCTCGCGCGCCTCGGCACGCCACTCCTCGATTTGACCCCGGTGGCACTGGTGTCCCGGCGCCGGCCTCGCCCCGGCAAGAAGTCGACGCGCTGGCTGAGGAATGGCGCAAATGGTGGAACGTCGGCCGAGGCGACTCTCAGCTAGAATGGACTGGCGACCTCGGCCCGCTTTTTCCTGGGCCCATTGTCGGGGAGATGCGAAAAAATCTTCGTTCGTTCACGGCTCGCTCGGGTCGCGGCTTCGACGGTTCGGCCCCGTCGGCAGTTCGATCGTCTCCCCGGCGATGCTATCATTGCGCTGTTTCGCCTCATCATGGCGATCGAGGCCCGGCGCGCCAAGCCAGAGTAGTTCCGCCCTCGCGCGCGCAGGAGACCTCGGCCCGATTGGGCCCTTGCATTCCAGTGCGCGCATCCAAGGCAGGCTTCGCAGGCCCTTGGTGCGCGTCTGTCAAGAGCGCAAACCCCGTTCCTTCTGGTGGGCTGCGGCTGGGGGGGGGCTCGGACGAACTGGCGTGGATTCAGTCTGCCACGTCAGAATGGGCGGTCGGCCGCGGTTTTGAAAGCGCCGTCGTCCTTCTCGATCTGGAGCAGGCGTTCGAGCGCATCTCGCGCGCTCGCCTCCTCATCGCTGCTGTGGCCGCGGCCCGCCCACAGCGTCAACTCTGCTTTCTTATTGAGTTATACAGAGCGCCAAGAATCCGCCGACCTGGCGCGCGAGAAGGGGGGGGGGGGGGGGGGGCGGGGGGGGAAGACGGGAGAGGCGGGGGGGGGGCAGGAGAGAGGGGCGGGGGGTGGGGGGGCGGCGGGCAGGGGAGATGGGGGGGGGGAACAGGAGACAGGGGGGGAAGAGGGGGAGGGGGGTGGACAGGAGCGACGGGGGGGGGGGGAAACAGGAAAGAAGAGAGTGGGGAAGGGGGGAAGAAGAGAGAGGGGGAAGAGGAGAGAAGGCATGCTAGGTGCGCTCGCGTCATATCGGACATCCTACCCCCCCTTCCCATCCCTTACCATGGCGCAGATCCCCTCTCTACTCGCACAGTCGGATGTCAAGCAGGGCGATGATCCCGAAAGGGTGCGCGATGGATTGTAGGGCACGGCATGGCATGGCGTAGAAGAGCACCGCGAAGCGTAGTATCAACCCAGCATTGCATTACATGCTGTGGCATGGCACAGGGAATGGCGCCACCGCTGCAGCGGGGGCACGAGTCGGAACGAGCGGAAGCGCGGAAATGAAGCCAGCGCTGCAGCGGGAGCACGATTCGGAACGAGCGGAAGCACGGAAATGAGACCAGCGCTGCAGCGGGAGCACGATTCGGAACGAGCGGGGCCCGAAAATGAAGCTGGCGCCTCAACGAGAACAGCATCTTGGAAACAAGCACAGCACCGCGGGGGGAGGGATACTAGCATTCAGATTGAAAACTTGTAGAGGGGGGGGGGCAGGGGAAAGGGGGGGGGGCCGGAGGAGAGACGGGGGCAGGGGGGGGAAAGGACAGAGCGGGGGGGGGGGCAGGAGAGGGGCGGGGGGGGGAGAGAGAGAGAGAGAGAGAGAGAGAGAGAGAGAGAGAGAGAGAGAGAGAGAGAGAGAGAGAGAGTGAGAGTGAGAGTGAGAGAGAGAGGAGAGAGAGAGAGAGAGAGAGAGAGAGAGAGAAAGAAAAAAAAGAAATAAAGAGAGAGAGAGAGAGAGAGAGAGAAAGAGAGAGAGAGAGAGAGAGAGAGAGAGAGAGAGAGAGAGAGAGAGAGAGCGAGAGAGAGGGGGGGCGGGACAGGAGAGAGGGGGAACAGGGGACAACAGAGAGGAGAGAGAGAGAGAGAGAGAGCGAGGGGGGGGCTGGGACCATCGCCATCTCCATCACCATCACCATCACCATCGTCGCATCACCTTCATTTTCATCATCATCATCGTCACCATCGGGAGCGCACCCCGATCGGCGGCACTGGCCGGAGGCCACTGCAATATTAGATTTTGGCGGCCGAGCGTCACATGGCCTTCGCGCTCCAGGCCGCCATCCCAGGATGGCATTTCGCAGCCGCCATGCTGCAACTCATCACTTTGCAGCCGCGCTAGATGTCTGAGCAGAGTGCGCCCGACCGTGCACGAAAGAGTCGCCGTCGATGCCTCTGGCCTGCATTCGCACGGCCGGGAAAAAACGCGTCGTCGAACAGCTGCGTGTGGCCGCCGGGCCCTTGCGCTCGGAGCTGACCAATGTAGATATTCGCATCGAGCGTTCCAAGAGCAAGCTTGTGGCCTCCAGTGTAGACCTTAAGATCAAGCTCCAGAGCTATATGCGTCGCCTCGCTGTTAGGGGCAGCTACGCGGGGCGCAACTTGGGCATCGTTTTCTCGGTTCGAGCGGTCGTCGCGCTGCGCGACCCGTCAGGCGAGAGCGCTCGGCACCTGCCCGCGTGCGACGCGGCCAGCTGCTCACGCTGGGTTGCCAGCTTGAGAAACGCCAGCTGCACCGCGCGGTCCAAGCCGCCATTCAGTCTGCAGCCACTTCTGGTCACCAAGTGCTCGGCACCGACGCCGCCGAGCTTAGAGTTGCGAGGCTTCATCGCACCCAAATTGAATTTGCCTTCGTCGATGGGCGATCCATATGGCTCAAGATGCTCCTCTCGGACGTCAGCCGTGTCGCCCCTGCATGCAAGCTGTGCGAATGGCCACTGCTAGCGCTCGCGCCCGTGGTTTGGAGCGGCCTGCTGCCGCGCGCGGTCCATTGCGGACGGGTCCGCGACGACTGGCGGCGCCTTCGGCACCGCGTCTCCTTGGCAGCACATCGAGGGGCCCTGCGATACATGCGTCGCCGCAGCCGTGGGACTAGGGATTCACATGGACGGGCTCCAATGGTCGCGCCCCCAGATCGGATTCTTCTCTCTCCTCGACCTCCCCCCTCGGACGGTGGGTATGGTGTTGGGTCGGGTTGTGAACCTCTGGCCGCGCCGGCGGGTGGCGACCACTTGGGGCGCCCAGAGTTTGCCCGCGGTTTATCGTTGCAGCCGTTGCGCGAGGTCATCAGAAGCAAGTGTACCTCGGCGCAGGGCGCAGCTTACATTCGCAGTGTAGGATGCGGTGGCCAGTGGCAGCGGCGACAGCTTGATTGCGGTCTCCGCCAGCAGTGGCAGTGTCAGATCTGCTTGGAAGGTCATGGCGCTCTCCTCCATCGTCGCATTGATTGCGAGTATCGCGCTGAGGTGCGCGAGCACGAGCCGCCACCGTTTGCAAGTTCACTCGGCCGAGCCTGCGCTCTGGCAAACCGGGAGGATGGAAAGCCCCCCCTCCCCCTCTTGCTTGCTGGGCGGCTGCTTGTGCTGCTTGCTCCTCTCCCCGCTGCTCCTCGGCCTGGCTGCTGGGTCTTAGACGCGGCTGGTTTTCTGCAGGGTCGCGTCTTTTTGGGCGGTAGCCAGCGTGATGAGCACTTCCCAGCGGCTCAGCGAGGTCTTGACTGGTAGCGCGTGCAACTGTCGGCTGACGCCTTTCGAGCGGAGGCGGTCCATGTGGGCTCCCTAGACTAACTCGTCGCCGATTCGTCGCCGAGATCGACCTGCTAGAGCTCCGGGCACTACTACAGGCCTTGCGCTTCTCATTGCCTGGCGCAACTTGTTGCAGCGACTCTGCCTTCGTTGTGAATTGCATTGAGCGCGGTCCTCACCAGTGCTGCTCCAGCACGGCTGTCTGGGCCGAAGTTTGGCGCGCGGTGTGGCAAAATATTGCTGGCTGGGGGGGGGAGCTGACGTCGTCGTCGTCGTCGTCGTCGTTGAAGTCCGAGGTCGCACCACGCGCGCCGCCGCACAAGCAGGCCAGGTCGATCCTTTCCACCGTGCTACCAACGACCTGGCCGACAGATTTGTTAAAAGGGGCCTCGGAGTGCGCTAGCCTGGATCCCGAGCTTCGTCGCGAACTTGAGAAAAAAAGGACAGCGTATTCCGCGAGTGCGCCATCTGGCTCGGTCGGGTCGGCCCTGCTATGGTCGCCACCGATGCCCTCCACGTCCCTCCGTGCAAGCGGGAAGCGAAGCCTCGCGTTCCGCGGTTTGTTGTTCTCCCCCCGCCGCCGCCCGCCACTCCTCGCTGCGTGCTGGCGGCGGACATGGGGCATGCACGCGTTCTGCTCGGCGGTGGGCAGCCCCGCGCCGTGCATCCATTTCGCCTCGCCGAGACGGGGGTCTCCTGCGTGGCCTGTGCTGTATGCGGCGCCAGTGGACCTTGCACCGTTCCTGTTCTCTACGCGCCCTGCCCAGGCCGTCCTGCCCTCAAGGGGCTGGCGCGGGGAAAGTAATCTGGTGCACCTTCGAGGAGCCCTGGCAGACGGGCCGTCTCCTCGGGGCTGGCGGAGCCGCGCCCGTGCACGGGGTCCCACAGGCAGCGCCGACAGAGCCGTCGCCTCGGCCCCTGTCCCGCGCTGCCGCGTCGGCGGCCAGCTCGAGCGCGGCTCGAACTCGTTCGGCTTTGGAAAGGCCAGCCTGAGGAAACTGGCGGCTTGCAGAGGTGGTTGAAGTTGCAGGAGGCGCCACCCGCTGCAGCCCAACAGGTGTACAGGTGGTCTGGATTGAACCTGATCGCCTTGGGCTGCGCCGAGAGGAGGAGAAGAAGGAGAAAGCAAGGAACGATGAGGAGGAGGAGGAGGGAAGGAACGAGGAGGAGGAGGAGGAGGAGGAGGAGGAGGAGAAGGAGGAGGAGGAGGAGGAGGAGGAGGAGAAGGAGGACGAGGAGGCCGGTCCTGGCGGAGGCGGTCGAAGGGCGTCGCGACCCGCCGCTCCTCGCGGGGGCGCTGCCGGCGGCGCCGCAGCGGCGCGGCGGCGGGCCGCGCGACCGCCGCGCCCGCCGCGGCGGCGGTGCGCTCGGCCAGCTCGACGGCCAAAAGCCTGGGAGCCGAGCAAAATCGCACGGGGCCAAGCCCTCTCGGGTCGGGCGGGTGGTAACGGGAGGTGACCCGAATGGGGGGTGAAGCATAATTAGGGCCCTAGAGGGGCACTTTCGGGCCCATTTTGGACCCGTCCTCCCCTCCTCCTTCTCCTCCTCTTCCTCCTTCTCCTCCTCCTCCTCCTCCTCCTCCTCCTGCTCCTCCTTCTCATTTCCTTTTCCATTTCCTTCTCCTCCTCCTCCTCCTCCTCCTCCTCCTCCTCCTCCTCCTCCTCCTCCTCGAGGGGTCCAGAAGTGGCCCTGAAATGCCGCTTTAGGGCCTTTTCTTCACCCCCCCCAATTACTATCCGCCCGACCCTCCCGGGTGCAGCCCAAGCGACCCCTGCCGTGACCAACGGCTTCCGTGACGCTGTCCTCGCCTTCCAAGCTGCCCTCTGGCCGCGTGAGGCGCGTCTTTCGGCGGCGAACGAGGGGGGGAGGTGAGAACCAGAGAAGGCCCTCTCGAGGAGAGAAGACCCTCTCGGAGGGAGGCGGGGCTCCTCAGAGGCCCTCGCGCCTTCCAGGAAGACTCATGTGTCGTCGGGGAATGCTTAGAAAACTTCCCAAAGGCCCCAGGACTTCCGAGCCTTCTGAGATGGCCCGCCCCCTCTCACTTCCCCGCCACGCTTGCCGCCGAGTCTTGGGGTGAAGCAAGGGGGGCGTCACGGAAAAGGATGGTCAGCCACAAGTCGAACAGACCCCCCGTGACCCTTCCTCCTCGTCCTTCTGTTGCAGTTCATGGGGGCCTCCGATACCATCCTGCTGGCTCTTGTGAATCGATGCTAAATCGACGCCTATCGACGCTAAATCGGCACCCATCGACGCTGAGCCAGCGCCATCTCATCGATTACCAGATGCTACTCGACGCTAGCGTACCACTGGAAAGACGAACATACCAAGAGTCTACGAGGCTCCCACGATTTGCCACCGAACCCTCCTCGTCTCTTTTCCTCGGGCACGCGCTAGCATTAAATCGGGTATGTCCTCCTACAGGCGGATGTGGGAAGAGTCTTGTCGAACAGTGAACAAACATAGTCCAACATGAGCACGAAACATCGTTCCCAGACTGTTCTATTACTGAGCATTCCTCCTGTAGCGGGACATGCCCGACTGAAAGCTGGTCCTGGGGATAGCCCAGGGTCTACCCTGGACACGTGTCCATCATGCCGAGGAGATCGAGGTGGATGAAAGAGGAGCTGAGCGAATGGGGGTAGTGAATCAGCATTCACGCTGTTGGTTTGATGATGATAATGATGCTGATGATGGTGATGGTGCTGATGATGATGACGCTGATAATGATGATGATGTTGATGAGGAAGATGATGATGCTGATGCTGGTGATGGTGATGGTGATGGTGATGATGATGATGATGATGATGATGATGATGATGATGATGATGATGATGATGATGATGATGACGCTGCTGCTGCTAATGCTGATGCTGCTGATGATGATGATGTTGATGCTGATGCTTATGATGATGATGACAGGCACCTTCCTGCAAGGGAGGCGCCCGTGCATCGAGGAACGGTGCCATGGCGGCGGGACATGCCCGACTTACCACGCCAACGCGGGATTCGGACCCGTGGCTCTGGCGCGCGGGGGGGCCAGCTCCTCCACTGGGGAGCCCCAACACCGTGTGGTGACAGACCCGGCGGTGACCTCTCGAAATCCACTTAGACCTCGCCGCAGGGTCCCCGTCACCATCCGGTTTTGAGACCTCGGATGCCCCAGTCGCCCGAGACGTCCTCGAAGAACAGCCTAAGTCCCAAAACCGTGCGGTGACCCCGAATCCCCGCCGACTCGCCATACGGCGTGGTCATTTTGGAGCGCTCTTGGAGGCCTCTTGGGCGCCTTTTGGGGCCCTCCTGGGCCGCTCTTGGGTGCTTTAGGGGCGCTCTTGGGGCCTCTTGGAGGACATCGATCAAAAAAGAAGGGAGCTTCAATTGGCTCCCCCCTCGGGAGCACCGAGAATTGCCTCCTGGACCCATCCTGGAGCGCTCGTGGGGCGCCCTGGGGGCCGTCTTGGGGCTCTCTTGGGGCCTCTCCTGGGGCCTCTATTGGGCCACCACTCCGTTTGGGGACCCCCGTTCCACGGACCGGGAAGAAAGGGCCGCCCCGGAACACGCGGCGACGGTGCCGCCCGACTGTGGCGACGGTGCGAAGCTGCTCTTGCGCACGCGCACGGGGCCCGCTGCCAATCCACACGCGCCCGTCCCTCGACACGACAGGGGCCCGCCGCCAAACGGGGCCCGCCGCCAAATCCAAATCCAGGCGCCGAGCGGGGCCCGCCGCTTGCGCACCCAAACGGGGCCCGCCACCAATCCACGGGCCTTCCACCCATGTTTCTTTTCCCTCGTCGACGCAAGCAGAAGAAGAACAAGCGGCATAAGCATACAAGAGGACCTGATTGGACAGGACACGCGAGAGGACACAAGACCCTTCCGAGGTTCCGATGGCCACCTTGCCATAGCAGGGTAAGGAGGCATGGGCCGCGAGACACAGGACACAAAGGTTCCCTTGACTTGGCAGGGTCGACCTACGAATCCGGGCCGACCGTGAACTTTTGGCGCGCCGCGCAGACCTCTTGGATCTGCGCTGGACACCCCCTCCCTGGCGCGCGGAGGCCGCCAGGGACGGCGCCGGAGGGCCCGGGCGCCGACCCAAGGAGTCCGCGCGGAGCGCCGGAAGCTCCTGCGCATGGCACTTGGGAGGCGGTTTCGTAAACGCACCTGGGGGAGGGGTCGTGCAGGGCAGGGCTGTCTCGTGAACGCCCAGGGCCGTCTAGTGAACGCCATGTGTCAGGGTCTGGGTGGCGCTTCCTCCCTTGAACAAAAGCCATCTCCCTCCTCGTCCCCCTGCCCCCTCCCTACCCTTAGGTCGGGCACGTCCCCCATACAGGCGGATCCTGGGCGAAAAATCAAACATATCCACAAAAATGCCCCCAACAAAAACAGAAAGAGAATAGAAACATCGTCCCCGGACTATTTCTTTTACTGTTTCTGAGCATCCCTCCCGTAGAGGGACGGGGCCCGCCTTCACCCTGGCGGCTGCTCCCCCCTCGCACCGCCGCCCGCGTCCCTCACTCCTCCGCGGCCTCTCCTCTCCCTCGCCCTGCCCCTCCTCTCGGCGCCCACGCTCCGTGCTGCGCCCTGCTGATGGCCTGGGCACGGCGTCGGCGACCGCTGGCGCCGCGGCCGAGAAACGGTGCCCTCCCTGGGCCAGGGGCGCTCCCAGCGACACCCGGCAGCTGAATCGGCGGCGGGCCCCGGGGGGCAAGTGAGAAAGGGCGGGCCTTCCGAGACGTTGTCGACGCCTTCCCCGAAGGCACGGAGCACTTCTCAGAAGGCACGAGGGCCTCTGAGGGCACCTGCCCCTGGCGAGGGGAGGGAGGGGTCAGGCACGGGTGGACCTGCGCGGTTCCCAAAACGCAGCCCCCGCAAGCCCCGACGCCGTCCCCGGGGCCGGATTTTTTTTTTGTTCCCTCCCGCGCCGCGTGTTGGCGGCCCGAGGGCCCAGCGAGGGCCCCCAGAGGGCGCGAATGGCCCAAATCCTCCTGCCGTGGTGCTTTCCCGACGCGATATGTCCGGGTTGTTCGGGTTGACACAAGATGAGGTGCAGCGACAAGGGGCAGCAGTCGATTTGGGGTGTGCAATAGATTTGTGGGGGCAGCAGTCGATTTGGGGGTGGTGCAATAGTTTGGGGTAGTCGATATGGGGGTGGTGCAATCGATATGGGGGTGGTGCAGTCGATATGGGGGTGGTGCAACAGATTTGTGGGGCAGCAGTCGATTGGGGGTGTGCCACGCATTCGCTGCAACACGATGCAGCTCAAAACCCTGGCGCAACACATTTGCAATCCGATTGCCCCAAACCTATGGCACATCACACTTTCAGCTGGACCCCCTTTCGGGTCACGAGGAGTTCTCCTCCTCCGGCAACCAGCGCCAGCAGCGGGGACGCCCACGCGACTCAGCGGCCCAGGCGCCGGCGAGCGCCGCGAGGCGCCCGGCGCACAGCGGCACGAGGGCGCAGTGGTGCTCCGCCTCGGCGGCGCCGACCTTGATGGGCCCATTTTCCACCACGACCATATGTAGGAGGAGGAGGAGGAGGAGGAGGAGGAGGAGGAGGAGGAGGACCTTCTCATCCTCCCTTCTCCCTGGTGGTGGACAATTCGCCCACCAGACCTCGCACGGGGTGGCGGGCGCGCTCGCCGAGCGCCCGAGGCGAGGTTGCAGCGCCTCCACCAACTCCCAGCCGCTGGCGGCTGACCAGGCGGCCGATGATGCGCCGTCGGCCTCGTCGCCGTGGCCTCCGCAGAGCGAGTCGGCGCAGCTGGCGGTCGCGCGCTCCTCCCGGGCCCGCTCGAGCCACGACGGGCCGTCCTCCCCAGCGAGCTGCTCGCCAACAGCCTCGGCCCGGAGGGCCGCCAACACCGCGCGCCGATCTCGGCGTCGGTCGCTCGCGACATCCGCGGACTTGTTCCCCCTGGAACGCCGATTCACCGACCTTGCGAAGGCGGCCCGGCCACGCTGGCTCTCTCGGCCTTTGTCGGCCCGGAGCCGCTTGCAATGGCCGCGCCGCATTGCCCAGCCGCGCCCGTCCATGACTGCATCTTCGCCGTCGAGGTCTAGAGCTCCGTCAGCCATACCTAGCGGGAGCCGACGAGCCCACGGGAAGCTGGGGGCTTGGGAGTGTGGTAAAAAAACTGCGCCAGGCTTGAGCTCACCATGCGGATGCGGATTCGTGCAACGAGCGCATACGCGCTATTTGGACATACTCTACCGGGTCTCAACAACTCGAGGCCCATAGCATATAAGAAGTTCCACGAGGAGCGCCGCCTCAGTGTGCGCCAGGGAATCGCTCGTGTTGCATCTTGGGGTGACCTTGCCTGTCCGATCGCGACGCCCGAGCGTGCACGCGTCGGGCTGCAGATGAACGTAGCGCCTACCCAGGATCTCTGCGCTGAACCCACGAATCACGGTCGAAGCTGCGTCGACCTCGTGGTCGCCTCGTGCGCTGGCTGGGCTACCAAGCTCTCACTCGGTGCCCGCCCATCAAGGAGGAGGAGGAGGAGCAGGATGGGGAGGAGGAGGAGGAGGAGCAGGAGGGGGATGAGGAGGAGGAGGAGGAGGAGGAGGAGGAGGAGGAGGAGGAGGAGGAGGAGGAGGAGGGCGGGAGAAGAGGAGGAGGAGGAGGGGAGGAGGAGGAGGAAAAAGGGAAGGAGGAGGAGGAGGAGGAGAGGAGGAGGAGGAGGAAGAGGAGGAGGAGGAGGAGGAGGAGGAGGAGGAGGAGGAGGAGGAGGGGGAGTAGAAGGAGGAGGAGGAGGAGGAGGAGGAGGAGGAGAGCCTCGTGGACGCCCCGTGCGCTGGCTGCTCCCCCCCCCCCGGCTGTCGCGGGGTGGCCGCCCGTGGGCGCCCGACTCCTCTCGCCCGGTGCCTGCCCGGTGCCTGCCCCGGGAGCACACCGTGGCGCTGGCTGGGCTCCGCGGGTCTTCGGTCACTGCCCGCCGGGGAGCGCCTCGTGGGAGCCTCGCGCGTCAGCTAGCGTCACTGGACGCGCAAACCGATTTGGAGGGCAGCAAATCCACCCCGACAATCACAGCCCCGACACGCGAGGCCGTTTCGTAAACGCACCCAAAGAAGGAATCAAACAGGGCAGAGCTGTTCGGTAAGCGCCCAGGGCCGTTTAGCAAAACGCCAATTGTCGGATCCCGGTGGCTTTTCCTCCCTTGACAATTGTACCACACAATGTTCACCTAACAGATTGCACCAAATAGCTTGGCACCACACACATTGCACCACACTCCGTGTACAACACACCTTTCACGGAATATTATGCACCAAATTCGCCGGCCCAACGGGCCAGAGGCGTGCTAAGATCTCCGGTAACTACTTAACAATATTTCTATTTTCGCCACCCCTCACGAGGATCGTGGCCTCCGAGTGGGGGGCTGCAATCGACTACTCCCCCTCCCGCCCCAAGGGGCCCAAACGAGCCCCCCAAGAGGCCCCAGGGGGGCCCAATACGCCGCCAGGGAGCCCCAAGACGCTCCCAAGAAGCCCCCAAGACGGCCCCAAGAGGCCCCGAATAGCGCTCCAGGGCCGGCGGAATGAGCGAAGCGATTAAATAACTGAGCGTGATGCACCATGTTAGCCAGCATGGGCCCCAAACAGTGATGTGTTGACTTGTGGAGGTGGAAGATATGTGGTGCAAGCTATGTGGTGTAAGCTGTTTTGTACAAACGTTGTGGTGTGAGCTATGTGGTGCAAGCTATGCTGTGGAAGCTGGGCGGTGTAAGCTATGGTGTGTAAACTGTGGCGTGGGCTGTATGGTGATTGGTATGTATTGTAACGTATGTGGTGTAAAATATGCTGTGCAGGCTATGTGCTGTTAGCTACACGTTGTGAGTACTGCGGCGTGTTTCAGATACATACATACATACGTACGTGCATGCATACGTACATACATGCATGCATACATGCACACATACACATACACACATACACAAACACACATATTTACACGACCTGCATATGTGTATGTTTGTATGTATGTATGTATGCATGCATGCATGCATGCATGTATGCATGCATGCATGTATGCATGTATGTATGTATGCATGTATGCATGTATGCATGTATGCATGTATGCATGTATGCATGTATGCATGTATCCATGTATGCACGTATGCATGTATGTATGCATGTATGCATGTATGCATGTATGCACGTATGTATGTATGTATGTATGCATGCATGCATGCATGTATGTATGTATGTATGTATATATGTATGTATGTATGTATGTGTGTGTATGTATGTATATATGGTTGTACGCATGCACGTATGTACGTATGTACGTATGTATGTATGTGTATGTATGTATGTATGTATGTATGTATTTATGTATGAATGATTGTATGCATGTATGTATGTATGTATGTATGTATGTATGCATGTATGTGTGTGTATGTGTATGTACGTGTGTGTACGTGTGTATGTACGTATGTATGCACGTATGCACGTACGTATGTATGTGTGTATATATGTAGGTACGTATGTATGTATGTATGTATGGATGTAAGCATGTAGGTATGTATATATATATATATATGCATGCATGCATGCATGCATGCATGCATGCATGTATGTATGTATGTATGTATGTATGTGTATGTATGCATGTATGCATGTATGCATGTATGTATGTATGTATGTATGTATGTATGTGTGTATGAATGTATGCATGCAGGTGGTGGATGCATGCGTAGGTGCAATTGCAACTGTAACTGCATGTGTACATATACGTGTATGTGTATACGTATGCGTACATGCACTTGTATGCGTAGATGTAGCTGTAGCTGTGCATGCATATGTAAATGCATGCTGTGTGTATAAACATGTATATGCATAGGCGTATGTTTGCTTGCATGTATGAATGTCTGTGTGGATGCATGCATGTATGGATGTATGTATGTTTGCCGAAATGTATGCATGTACGCATGCATGCATGTCTATCTCTAGGTGCGTATGTATAATTTCAAACACCTAACTTCCCCAATCAGTGCTCGCACTTACGGGTAATACCTGCTCCTTGTCCCCAAGGGATTCGAGAGGTCCGTCGATATGTTTGCTTCGTCGCCGCCCGTTGCCGCCTCGGTGCCGCCCCATTCGGGGAAAGGTCCGTCGAGGTCCCGCCGCGTCGCCGCCCGTTGCTGCCTCGCCGCCGCCCAACGGGGGGGGGTGTTCGTCGAGGTATCGCCGCGTCACCGCCCGTCGCCGCCTCGCTGCCGCCTGCCCGAGGCGGCACCCAAAGCATCCCCAGCACCGCCTCTGAAAGGCCTCCGAGGAGTCTCCCAGTCTCACTCACGCCACTTTGGGTGTGAGTGGTTTGGAGCGCTTCTTCTTTCTCCAACCCCCCTTTCTTCCCCCTCGGGGAAAGGCTTATCACTGTTCCTTATTCACAAACACCCCCTTCCCCAGGCGACCAGCAGCCAACCCAAACCAATGAGATCCCTCCCCCAACCATTACTGGCAAAACAAATGCAACATGCACTTTGCCTCAAAAACTGGAGCATGCGCGGGCGCCCCCGCGACCACTTTGCGTTGGTTTTTGAAAGAGACGGCGGGGGTGCCGGCATGTTGCTTGCTGCGCGCAAGCCAATCCCTGTCAAAAACAATACAAAATATATGTTGACTGCAAATCTGGAGCGCGTGCGGGCGCCAAGCGACCAATGTGCACCGGTTTTGGACATAGATGACTTGCTGCCCCAGCTGTTTCGCCTGGGCCTTCGGGGTGCCTGGCTCACCTGGAATCCGTGGCGCACATTGCACGTGTGGCGTTCCTCGGCGGCATGTAGAGACTCAGATGTTACGTGTGCGTTGGGAGGGAGGGCGGGTGGGAGTGAGCGGGACGGCTTGCGGGCAGAGGAGGTGTCTTGATTCCTTCCCCGACCGACCCCCCCCCGGACTAGGACGGCGCGCCCTGCGAAGTGCCACAGTGTTCAAGATTGGCATCGGCCAGAAGAGGCCAACATCACTGACTGCACTGAGGGTGCAGGCACACTTGGGCCTTATGGGGGTGTGACGCACCCCGCCCCTTCTTTAACCGATCTCCTCCAAGATGGCCCAAACATGGCCCCCACGTAAGGCTGCCAAGACGCCCCGCAAAGGGCCCCAAGAGGCGCCCAGGAGGCCCCAAGATGCCCCAAAGAGGCTCCCACAGGGCAGCCAACACGTTTCAAGAAAACCCCAGGGCCGCCAAACTGCGCCCATGACGCCCCAACATTCCTACAAAAAGCTCGGAGAAAATCCGAAGATCTTCCGGAAAACAACCAGTAAAGGCCTCTGGACTTACTGTTCGCCTTCATCCTCGTTCTTCTGTATTTCCTTATTATTATTCGTCTTATTGTTCCTCCTCTTCCTCCTCTCTTCCTCCTCCTCCTCCTCCTCCTCCTCCTCCTCCTCCTCCTACTCGTCTTCGTTTTCCTCGTCATCATCCTCGTTCTCGTCTTCGCCTTGGTCCTCGTCCTCGTCCCCCTCCTCCTCCTCCTCCGCGTCCTCCTCCGCCTCCTCCTACTCCTGCGCGTCATCCTCCTCGCCGGCGTCCTAATCCTCGCTGTGGTCCTGGTCGCCGTCCTGCTGGTCTACCTCTTCCTCCTCCTCCTCCTCCTCCTCCTCCTCTGCCTTGCTGTCCCCAAGAGGGTCCCGAGAGAGCCCCTAGAAGACCCCATCGAGGGCACGAAGAATGCCCAAACATGGATCCTTCGGAGAGGCTGGTCCACTGCATGCTTCTGCACATCCCTGGCGGTCGGTTCTGGATGGGCTTGTGGGGATACGCATGTATACACATACATATATATATATATATATATATATATGTATTTATACATATATACACAGAGAGAACGAGAGAGAGAGAGAGAGATAGAGAAACAAAGAGAGAGAGAGAGAGAGACACAAACGGACAGACCGACAGACAACGAGAGAGCGTGAGAGAGAGAGAGAGACAGAGAGATCCCCTTACTCGGGAAACCAAAAGGTACCGATACCGCTACTCCCTGGACCTCTCCCAGGATGCGTTCCGACCAGAATTTCGAAGCGAATCCAGCGGTAGTGACGAGGGCCTCCCAAGATGCCCCCCAAAGATGGAAAACGAGGGAAAGGTATTAGCGGCATGGGTGCCTTTTCCCTCCCCGGACTGACAGACAAGCTCTCCAGGGATAACAACTACGTGTCCCGCCTGGGTGGCAGGCCCACCGGGTCGGTGGCGCCTCCTCCCGAAGTGGAGAGGGAAACACTTGCAGGGACTTCTGCGGGACTGATGGGCCAATTTTCCACCACCGCTACCACGGGTAGGAGAGGGAGGAGAAGACAGAGGAGGAGGAGGAGGAGGAGGAGGAGGAGGAGGAGGAGGAGGAGGAGGACCTCCTCATCCTGCCTTCTCCCCCGTCCTACATCTGGTAACGGTGGTGGAAAATGCGTCCATCAGGGACGGCCCTGGGACGGCGGGAATGTCGGGGATGGGCAGGACCCCTGGCGGCGCGCCTTCTCGCCCCTGACGCGCTCCGCGCGCCAGGGGCGAGAGAGGGGCTGTCGGGCCCCTGTCAGCGACGAGTGGGTGCCTTGGGCATGGACAGAGCCCCCTTTAGCAAAAGGTGGTTTGGTGAAAACGACCTCGGGCCCAGACCTGGGGGGCGCAAGCCTGGAAAACAATGTCCGCGGCGCCCCCTCGAGAACCGAAGACGTACAATTCACGAATCGACGTGTCAGGGCTGGGGTTCTGTCCACCCCCGAGACTTCTGAGGGAAAGCATCGTTGGCGCGTCTGGGATTTACTCTGATCGCTCTCCTCCTCCTCCTCCTCCTCCTCCTCCTCCTCCTCCTCCTCCTGCTCCCCCTCCTGCTCCCCCTCCTCCTGTAGCAGCGCACTAGCACACATCCGAAGATGGTGCAGACCCCGAGGGGCCACCCCCACCGCAACGGGGAGAAGAACATGGAAACTCTCTCTTATCCGTGAGGTTGCAGAGAGACTCAGAAGGACAGTACAGTAGCAGGTAGAACTTGAGCGTGAGGCTGCGGCAGCAGGCGCCGAAGGCGCCTCATGTCCCCTCCTCCTCCTCCTCCTCCTCCTCCTCCTCCTCCTCCTCCTCCTCCTCCCCCTCAAACTCAAACTCCTCTTTCTGGAGGCGGGGAGCCTTTTCACAGCATCGCTGGCTCATGGCGCTCTCACGAGGCGCTCGGCCCTCTCGTACAGCTTGCTGCAGCAACTCCGTGCCCAGAGGATGTCGGCACTGTAGGAGCCCCACAGCTGCCGGGCAAAGCAGCACACGCCCAGCCCGGCGCATGCAACATCGACGGCGCCCAGAGCAACTGGTGGAGCCGAGTCGCCGAGCGCGTCACGCGCGGCCCGCTGCAACAGCTCCACGCCCAACAGGGAGTTCACCATCAGCGCAGCAACCTGGTCATAGTACCTCAAATACGTTGCCATGAACCACACAGGCAGCTGAGATGCGACTACATTGACAGTGGGATAGGCACTCGCAGGAGCGCCAGACGGTGCCATGAGCATGCTGAAGATCTGCCTTGACACCTGGCCACACGCAGCAAGTCCTCGCACGCGTGCGCCGTGTAATACTGGGTGTAAACTGTCCATAGCCCTTGAAGATGACGGTGACTGCTCCAGCCACCGGGCAGCACAAACCACTGCTCCGCTGCAAAAAACCTTGAGCAGGACGTTCATGTTCAAGACGCGCCTGGTCACGTCGTCAGCCACAGTCCGCGCCGCATGCCACAGGGCTGGATGGACGTCCTTCGGCAACGGGGAGCTCATTGCCGATCTCACTACCGCCGCAGTATGGTCCATAAGCGCGTCCATGTCAGCTGCATCACAGACTCGGAGCAGCGGGATGAATATCGGCGTGTAGCATAAGTCCCCGCCGCGCCAGCAAAGCAGGGCTCCGATGCCACTGCATATGCCGATGCGTTGCCTCTGCTCGGGGGCAGCCAAGAGGGGCGCGTCCAAGAGAGGGGGCGCAAACCATGACCCGCGGCATGTGCTCGGCCCAGGGGGGGGGACGGGGACGTATGAAAACAAGAAGAGGCGCCATGAGATCTGGGGAGATATGATATCATGGCGCCCGCCATGATACCCATCCCCCCCCCCCCTCCTGGCGGCCCCCGATCTGCGCTGCCTGCACCCACGCGTCCATCGCCGGCCAGCAGCGCGGAGAGGGCTTCCCGCGCGAAGCGGCGCTCCAAGCCAAGGGCCTCAGCCAAGACGGCTACGGAGGGAAGGGGAGGGCTCTGCCTCTCGACCCCGGCGCCGAGGTCGCGGCGAAGGTCGGCACAAGCTCGGCCAGGAAGCGCACATGGGGCCCTGTGGCGTGGTGCGAACTGGAGCAGAGGCAGGCGTGCGTCTTCGCGCTTCGGGCTGCGAGGTTTGGGGAGGGGAGGGACACGAGAGGCGGGGCAGGGAGGGCAAAGGCATCTCGCATCTCCCCCTCGACCTTCCCTCCGTGAGCCCCTGCATGAGCTGGTGCGCACCAGCGCAGCAAGGCAGTCGAGGCTTGGGGGGCAGGTTTGGGCAGAGGGCAGGGTGGTAGGCAGACGGCTCTTTGCAGTCAAGGTTTATGTCTGGCCTGTCCGCCTACAGGGGATTTTCGACGAAAAATTACACCGGACTCACTTCTATAGCGCTCACTTCTATAGTGCTCACTTTGAAATTGTGGTCCGGAAGGGGCCGCACATGCAGGCACATGCCGCACAGTCGCATGCACATGCCCATGCAAATATACAAAAGCCTCAACGGCATTGCCGCACATGCGCGCACATGCCACACCGTCCGACGCACAGTCGAATGCACGGTCAAGCAAAACTCTGAAAGCATAGACGCACATGCCCGCACATGCCGCAGAGATGTCGCAGGCGATAGTGGCCTGACCACCTGAGCTCGGGGCATTTCGCAACCCAGAGTTCCGAGGATGTCTCAGGCAAGCGTGGCCGGATCACCATGGGGCAGGGCATCTTGGAAACCAGAGTGGCGAGGATGTCGCTGGTCAAGGTGACCAGACGACCATGGGGCAGGACACCTCCGAGGTCTGAGTTGTGAGGATGTCTCAAGCGAAAGTGGCCTGACCACCATGGGGCAGGAGATCTCTGAGGTCAGAGTTGCGAGGATGTCTCTGGGGAGAGTGGTCTGACCACCTCAGCCCAGGGCATCTCGGAGCCCAGAGTTGCGAGGATGTCTCAGGCAGGACTGGCCTGACCACCTGCTCAGGGCATCTCAGAACCCAGAGTTGCGAGGGTCTCAGGCGAAAAAGGCCGAGACACTATGGAGCAGGGCATCATTGAGGTCAGAGTTGCGAGGATGTCTCAGGCAAAAGTGGCCTGAACAGCTCAACTCAGGGCATCTCGGGCGAGGATGTCTAAAGCGAAAGTGGTCGAACCACCTCAACTCAGGGCGTCTCGGAACCCAGAGTTCCGAGGATGTCTCAGGCGAAAGGGGCCGAGACACTATCGAGCAGGGCATCATTGAGATCAGGGTTGCGAGGATGTCTCAGGCGACAGTGGCTGACCACCTCAGCTCGGGGCATATCGGAATCGAGACTTGCGAGGATGTCTCAGGCGACCGTGGCCTGACCAGCATGGGGCAGGAGATCTCTGAGGTCAGAGTTGCGAGGATGTCTCATGCGAAAGTGGTCTAACCACCTCAGCTCAGGGCGTCTCGAAACCCAGAGTCCCGAGGATGTCTCAAGCGAAAGTGGCCGGGCCACCATGGGGCAGGGCATCTCCGAGACCAGAGTTGCGAGGATGTCTCAGGCGAAGGTGGCCAGATCACTTCATGTCAAAGCACGTCGGCCTCCAAATTGCCGACGACGTCTCACGCGGAACTGGCCGGACGCGAACGCGCCGGCGTCCGGAGACGAACGCCGGCCCCGGCATTCTTGCACGTCCCGCACATGCACTGCACAGGTACGCACAGTATTCGCACAGGCCGAGCTCGCCGGTGGCCGAGCCAGGCCAGCGATTCCGAGATTCCCTGAGCTCGGGCCGTCAAGCCACTTTCGCCTGAGACAGCCTCGCAACTCTCACCTCCTCCTCCTCCTCCTCCTCCTCCTCCTCCTCCTCCTCCTTCTCCTCTGGCCGAGCCGAACAGGCAGGCTGGCCAGTGGCCGGGGGCGCCCGCCTCCTCCGCCCCCCCCTCCTCCCCCCCCCCTCCACCTCCCCCCCCCCCATCCCTGCTTCTCCGGCCGAGCTGAGAAGGCGCGCGGGAGAGTATTTTATTAGGCGGGCGCGCCACCGCCAGCTCACGAACCGGGCGAATAACCGCCCCCGCCAGCAGCGGGCGAGTCTAAACGCACAACAAACTCTTTCAGGAAACCCTGGCACGCCCCAGGTTAGCTCTGCGAAGGCCAGGAGGCATTGGAGGCACAGGGGTCCCAGACAGCTCCTAGGGCATGAGCGTGCATGTGCATTGGGATGTGCACGCATGTGCGCCCGCGCGCTTCACCGCATGTGCGTGCATGTGCGGGCCCGCGCGGCCTCCCGAAGAGAGGTTGCACAGGCATGTGCGTGCATGTGCCGATGACAGATCTGCGATTCTCGAACACCTCCCGCATGTGCAGGCATGTGCGCGCATGTGCGTCGGACTGTGCGTGCATGTGCGTATGATGGATACATCAAAACACAGCGCACATGCCCCCGCACATGCCCGGGCACGACGTGCACAGTAGGAAGTCCATCCAAGAAGGACCGCACAGGCCTGGCACATGACTGGCACATGCCGCGCACATTCGCGCACATGACAGCACAAAAACGGCCGCACATACACCCACCCAGGGGTATAGATGTGAGTGCGGTGTAAACATGCCCTAACAATAACCAAAAAAGAAAAAGCAAACTAAAAAAAATGTCCCCAGACAATTGTTGGGTTATCTTTTATTTTTGGGGTATTTTCTATTTTTCGGCGAACATCCCCCTGTAGGGGGACAGGCCCGACTTACGTCAAGGCCTGACGAGTTGTGAGAGGGCGGGCAGCGAGCAGCACTGGCTCCCCCTGGTGGCGGCGGCTCTGCCTCGCGCCTCGGCGCCTCCGCGGCGCCCCCTGTCCGACGCCCCCCTTCGTTCGCGCCACCTGTGCCTCTCGGGGATGGACAGACCCCCCTTTAGCAAAACGTGGTTTAGTGAAAACGACCTGAGGCCCAAACCTGGCGGGCGCAAGCCTGGAAAATAACGGCCACGGCGCCCTCTCGAGAACCGAAAACGGACAATTCACTAATCGACGTGTCACTGTTGGGGGTTCTGTCCACCCCCGAGCCTCTTCCCCCAGGTCGAGTGGTAAGTCGGGCCTGTCCCCCTACAGGGGTATCTTCGACGAAGAAGAAAAAACCCAAACATAGTCAAAACATAGTCCAAACATATTCTGGAAACTATTTTGTTTCAAAATTGTTTGACCTGTTTGGGGCATGTGTGGGGTATCTTTTTATTTTTTCGTCGAAAAACCACCTGTGGGGGGACAGGCCCGACATAAGGCAAGTGTGCGCACGCACCAGATGCGTGCAGAAACCAACATCGGTGCCGCAGCAGGATCGAAGGAGGAGGCTTGCTGAAAACGGGGCCGCCCCCGTCGCAGCTACGGCAGGCAAGCACGAGCTCCTGCAGCAGAAACGTCCTCACGCCGGCGGTGGAGGTGCCGATGCTGTTGCCCTGGCGCGCAAGGGCGAGATTGTAGGCTTCCCATCGTTCGAAAGAAACGGGCCAAAACATCAAGCAGGAGGGCTGTGAGGGCGGGTTGGGTTTCCACCCGGGCGCCCCGCGAAAACGCAGGAAGAGGGAAGACCAATCGACTCTTGAAATAGGAAGGAGCTGGCAATATATTGAGAAGAAAGAACAACGGCATAACCATGAACTTGTGGCGGTCCGCGCGGATTCATCGGATCTGCGCTGGACCCCCCCCTAGCACGCGGAACGCGCCAGGGGCGTCGTCAGAGGCGCCGCGGAGGGGGGCCCAGCGCGGATCCAGGAAATCCGCACAGAGCGCCTGCAGTGTATATTTGTGGTGCTTGTTTTTCGAAGATTAGAATTCGGTCGGGCATGTCCCCCTACAGGCGGATCTTGGGCGAAAAATAAGCCGTGAGTCGACAAAACGCAAACATAGTCAAAACATGGTAGAACAATCGTTCCCAGTCTAATGTTTTACTATGTTTGAATTTTCCTCCTGCAGAGAGACGTGCCCGATCTGGATACAACGATGCCCGTCCTCCGGGGAGACGCAAGACTCGGAGACAATAGACTCGGGTTGGCCTGACGGGGCCTGAACAAAAACGACGGGACCCGATCTGAAATTTGACGCGAACTCCCGCTGCAAACATCCCAAGAACACGGGGCCGTCAAAATTCAGGGACGTACCCCCCTCTTTCCCTATCCCCCCTCTGGCTCGGCCCGAGAAGCATGAAACACCGTAGAAAGATGCACAACTTGCCACAAATAGTTTGCACCTGGCCCCCAGACCAGATTCTCGGACTGCGTTTGGATGCTCCTCCTGTAGAGGGACCCGCCCGACCCAGCAGTGCAGACGGTGGCCGGGCGCACGCAGCACCTCCCGCCGCTGCTCCGCGGGCCTGCCCGTCCCCGCCGCTGCGCCTCCCGCCCCCCGCCTCGCTCCGCGAGGCCGCTCTGTGCGCCCTTGCCACCCAGGGGAAGGGGCAACAGATACGGTCATCGGCCTGACCTGAGCAACGATCAATAAGAAACGAAGCCCTGTTGTCTTCTCCTAAGATTAACGCATAAAGAACGATGATATCTCTCTCTCTCTCTCTATATATATATATATATGTACATCTGTTTATGTATATACATATATATATATATACCTATACGACCACCCTTAGGGTGATAAGGAGGTTCGGGGGGGGGGAACCAACGTCTCACTCGATCGGTCTCACTATCGATCTCAGTATCGATCTCACTATCGGTCTCGCTCGATCGATC